ACAAAAACTCAAAAGTTAGCATAGCATATTAACTACATGCACACATAATGAAAACACTGTAATTATATTTAAACATATAATGGATACATGCATACATTTATCCTGAAATGCATATTCAGGGAAAGATTTATTATCTTCATTAAACACAAAACCAACAAAACAACCCATCATTACACTAAGCTCTAATGGGTATAATAAATTTAAGAACAATTAATGAAACTTCATTCTAAGAAAACTAATCTATGACGGTGCGCCAAAAATTATCTGCACTCAGGCTGTAGAATTTAATCAACTCCTAGAAAAGACAAATACATAATTTTTCAACATAATCTTGCTTTTAATACACTTTGTCCTTCGGTCAACAAACTTTTGTATTCCCTTGTCAAAAAATGTTTTAGACTGAGCAGCGTGCCACGAATGCACCGCTGTCTTCACTTCTACATCAAAGGTGAATCTTCATCCTTGAAGGACTGCTTTTCAGAGGACCAAACAGGTGAAAGTCCAATGGAGCAGGATCAGGACTTTAGACAGGATGCTTTAACATCTTCAAAGTTTTTCAGAGTGTCAACAGTGTGAGCAGAGGTGTGTGGATGGGCAGTGTCAAGCAAGATCACACATCCTTGGATAGCATTCCTCTGCGTTTAATCCAAAATTTAGGCTTCAGCTCTTCAGTGGGCATCTCACTCTAATGAGCACTGTTGATTGTTGAATCTTTTTCCTGATAGTGTTCTAATACTGGTGCTTGAGGATTCCAGAAAACTGTTGTTGTTGTTGTCATGTGCCATGGAGTCAGTTCCAACTCATAGCGACCCTGTACATGGTTTCTGAGGCTATAAATCTTTATGGGAGGAGAAAGCCTCATCTATCTCCCATGGAGCAACTGGTAGTTTCGAACTGCTGACCTTGAGATTAGCAGCCCTATTCGTAACCACTACGTAAGCATCAATTTCCCAGCTGATGATTGACTTTTGAACTTTTTTCTCGGTTGACAAGTGAGGATGTTTCCATTCCATACTCTGCCTCTTACTCGTAGGCTCATAGTGGTGAAGCCATGTCTCATCACCAGTAATGATTTTTTAAAAATAAGTTTTTACCTTCCTTTGAGTATTGGTCCAATTTTTGTTTGTAAATGTTCAAATGCTTCTGTTTACATGCTTCTGTGAGTTGTTTTAGTTTCCATCTTGCACACACTTTTCAAAACCTAAATCTGTCATGGATTATTTCATAGGCAGAGCCTTCGCTGATTTTCAAATTATTTCCCACAGAATCCACCGTCACTTGTCCATTCGACAGAATAATTTCATGTGAACACTCAGTATTATCATCAGCCATAGACATGGACACGCTTTTTAATACAACCAGGGTGTGGACAGTTTCTGACTCACCCTAGTATGATTAATAATTATTCTATGTTTTCAAAATTTATTGTTTTCTAACACAGTTTTTGAAAAGTTAAAACCACAATCAAGCACAATTATGTTAGAAAGTAGATAGTTCGCCAGCTGGTCTCACAGCACGTAAATTCTCATGCAAAGTCTCCTTCGGCATCAATTTCTCAAATAAGTCAAACCAATCCTTTGTTATCAATTCTCTCAGTATAATAGGCGAACTTACACGTTTTAAGTTTCTATGTCATTCCCTTACAAAATGGCAAAACCACTGAGAGACTTTCAGAAAAAAGAGATTTCATATTCTCCTGACTCAGTCATCTTCAGAGTTTATATGCAATATATAAAGCTAAATATTTGTAATGGAGTCCTGGTATGGTGCTGTAGGACAAGCACTGGACTGCTAACCAAAAGTTCTGACAATTCAAACACACCAGCTGCTCCTCAGAAACCCTATGTAGGGTTGCCATGAGTTGGAACCAACTCGAGGACACTTATCAACAACAATATTTGTAATGGTTCATTAATATTTGTTATTCTAAATATATTGTTGTTGTTATTAAGTGCCATAGAGTCAGTTCTGACCCATAGTGATCCTGTATAGGGTTTCCAAGGAGCTGCTGGTGAGCTTGAACCTCCAACTTTGCAGTTCAAACCGACTTTGCAGTGCAGCACATTAGCCCACATAAAATATACAGAATGATTCAAATAGATGATTCTGGGATTTCTCTCATTTTCTGATACAAAGTTGCAATAATATAGGCAACTGTTTTCCAATTACTTTAGCTAACATGGTAGATGAGTTAACTTTCCTAAGCATCAATTTATGAAGTGATTTTACGGTACTGTGTTTGTTGGTCTCCTGGCATGGTGCTTGAGAATCTGCACTGGGCTCCAAACCAGAATGTTGGCAGTTGCCATCCACCAGCTGTTCCTCAGAAACCCAGTACAGGGTCGCTATGAGTCGGAATCCATTCCATAGCACTTAACAACAACAAAGCACTGTTTAATACTCTGATCAGGCCATACTGTTGTTAAGTGCCATCGAGTTGGCTCCCACTTATAGCGACTCTACAGGGTTTCCGAGGAACAGCTAGTGGGTTTGAACTGCCAACCTTGCAGTTCGCAGCGCAGTGCTGATCCTACAGCACTATACCAGGAATCCATAGCTTCCTAAATAAGGAAATGAATGTAGATCAGTCATGCATGAATAAAACATATCTTTCGCTTTCAAGCTGAGATCTGTGCAAGGAATAGCTGCATTTTTACGTAGACCAGTGGGGACCGATTTGCCTCAGAAAGGACTAGCTTCCAGTCCTCAGGAAAAATGGGAATACAATGAGTACATAAATTAAACAATGCAGAGAATCTAGAGGTTAAGTAGCTAAATACAGTGGTGTGATTGTTATGTCACAGTGCTTGGTACCCTAACCAAAATATGTCTATTCACCTCCCTTTTCCTAAGAAAAAGAATAAAGTGTTGGCACTCTTGAAAATCACTTCAGTATCACAAGCATATCTTTTGACATTTACCTAAACTGTGAAAACCAATTGAGATTAAATTAAATATAATTAAAGCATTAGAGAGGGATACAACACTCCTTCTGTTCTACATCTGTCATAACCATATATATGTATATATTTTTTTCTTCTTTAAAATGACTACTGTGTGTAGGGAGTCCTGGTGTGGTGCTGCGGGTTAACGCGCTGGACCACAAAGTTGGTTTGATCAATATGGTTGGTGGTTCAAGCTTACCAGCTGCTCCTCGGAAACCCTATACAGGGTTGCTGTGGGTCACTTAACAACAACAACAACTGTGTGCAGAGGAGTCCTGGCTTGGTACTGTAGTATTTACAGAGGTAAATACTTTTGGGAGGCAAATACTTTTGGCTGGGGGTGCATGGAGGGGATTGTAATCATTACAATGATTTGCTGAATGGAAAACTGGTGATCTGCCCTGTAAGCCTTCACTCACTCAATACACAATAAAAGCTTTTAAAAAAAACCAAACGTCAGATAAAAAGAAAACAAAAAGCTTTACTGGCAGACTGGCAGTTTGGTCAATTACCAGGAAATACATGTCTTAGGACTGTTAATGAAAACTGATGGAAGTCACATAGGACAGAAAAAACACAGCTGACAATACTGCTGGTAATATCGTTGAGTATTATGAAAATGCATCCGTTTTGTTTGAAGGCTTTGTGTGTTCTGTTGGTAGTGGAGGTGGTGATGTATGTGCTGAGCAGTGTACCTGTGAATGCATGTTTTATATTAGGTTGTGGAGCCCTGATGGTTCTGTGATTAAATTCTTGGTTACTAAATGAAAGGTCAGCAGTTCAAATTCACCAACATTCTGTGGGAAAAAGATTTCTTCTTCCACAAAAAAGAACAGTCTTGGAAACCCTATTGGACATTTTTTTTCCTTTCCTACAAGATCACTATGGGTTAGAATCCACTGAATGGCAATGCGCTTGGTCTCTCTCTCTTTTTTTTTTTAATACTATTTGACATGTTTAATGAGTTTCTTCATCTCAAAATCATAAACCTGGGTTCCTTAGATAGACTCATAGCCCTCTATAATTGTATGTATATTTTGCATGAGTATGCATTTAAAGGAAAATGACCCGTGGTGGTGGTGGTGGGTGACTCATAGTAACCCTGTACAGGGTTTCTGAGGCTGTAAATCTTTAAGCAAGCAGAAAGTCTCATCTTTCTCCTGTGAAACAGCTGGTAGTTTCGAAATGCTGACCTTGTGGTTCACAACCACTCATAACAGCCATCAAGTCCAAAAGTGATTAAGAAATGTCATTCTAAAACCTCCATTGTCTGAGGACTGGTGAAGTCACTAAAAAATCTTCTCAAAAATCAAGAGTATTTAGTGGAAGAAACATGCCCCAGACTATCACTGCAACCATCCAAAGCATGAGCAACATCATTCAGCACTGGTTTTACCATGAGACGCCGCCTCAGGAACAAATTGTATCGCTTAGCAGTCTGTGGAGCAACCAACAGAGAGTTAGCAAATTTTATACATGACCAAAATGAAGATTCCCAAAGAAAACACAAACACAAACAAACTTGCAGAGTCATCAATATGTCAGTATATGTGTGTGGTGGTGGTGGTGGTGGTGTGTCATGGAGTGAATTCCGACTCACTACGACCCTGTGACAAGGTTTCCGAGGCTGTAAATCTTTACAAGAGCAGAAAGCCTCATCTTTCTCCCATGGAACAGCTGGTAGTTTCGAACTGCTGACCTTGAGGTTAGCAGCCCGATTCATAACCACTACGCTATCAGAGCTCCTTAGTATACCTGTATAAAATATTTAAAATTGGAAGGGGGAAAGGAATAGTGTGAAAGAAAGAGGCAAAAAACTGGAAGAAAACAATAAAGAACAAAGGAAAAAAAAAAGAGGAGGCTTTCAAAAGTTTCTCTCAATCCTTTATACAGTGGTTTAAATCAAAATATTTGTGGAATTGAATAAGGATGAAATCAGAGCAAGAAAATATTGGAAAAGAGAAAAATGATTCAATTATTTAAACGTTGAGTTGTCTTTAACTTTCATTCACCATGGACAATATTTTTTAAATGACAAGGCAAGTAAATAAAAACATTGTTTGGATAATCAGTAATATTACTGCTCCTTGGAAACCCTGCATAGGGTTGCTATGGGTCGGAATCAACTCGACGGCACTTAACAACAGAAAAACAATCAGTTATATTTGGGAAAACAAACAAACATATGACCTCAAAAAACATTCTGTGCATTCTACAGTATAATGAAAGGACAATTTATTTTTAAAAGGTATCAATACATGGTTTTGATTTCTGTCATCAAAATTTTGCTTAAACTGTTTTTCTAGAACAAGCTGAAGAGGCTAATGGTACTGGTAATTATTGGAATGAAAACCCCTTTTCTGTAAACTAAGGTCTTTCTTTAATTTTGTTGTTAAGTGCTGTTGAGTTTTGTTCTAACTCACATCGACCCTGTATAGGATTTCCAAAGTCCTACTAACTGGTGAGTGTGAAGTGCTGACTTTGCGGATCAAACTGACCTTGCAGTCCAGTGCTTATCCTACAGCATCACACCAGGACTCAAAGGTTCCTACTGACTAGGAGTTGTTGTTGTTGTTGTTGTTGTTAAGTACCGTGGAGTCGGTTCCGACTCACAGTGACCCTACACAGGGTTTCCGAGGCTGCAAATCTTTACAGGAGCAGAAAGCCTCATCTTTCTCCCACAGAACAGCTGGTAGTTTTGAACTGCCAATCTTGAAGTTAGCAGCCCGATTTGTAACCACTACACTACCAGAATAGGTAGGAGTTAATATTGCTTAATTAATAGTATATTTGAAATTACATTCATCTGTTGACCTAGGCGTTTTACCTCAGCATTTTAATTCTTTTATAATCTATCTTAAGATTTACAACTACTGTTTTCTTGCTGTTTCCCTGTATCTGTAAAAGATTTAATAAGGGAAGTGAAACAATTATATACTAGGTGTGGCGCTGTAGGACCAGCACTTGAACTGCAAACCACAAGGTCGATGGTTTGGTAGTACAAACCATTAGGCATTCCTTGGAAACGTTTTACAGGATTTCTAAGAGTCTGAACTAACTTGTTGGCATTTAACAACAGAGGGACTTTTGGTGTGGTGCTACAGGATAAGCAATGGATGACAAGATAAGTGGTTCAAGCCCACCAGCTGCTCCTTGGAAATCCTATATAGAATAGCTGAGTTGGAACCAACAGACACCACTTAACAACATTGGGGGATATGTAAGCCCACATTTTGGCTTTCATGGCCCCAAGGTATGTTTGTGCATGGGCTCTTTTCCTCTATTAAAATAAAGAAAAATGGACTTCTATGAAAGGCATCTATGAAAAATATACCATTAACATAAGTTCTGGTGTTGTTCTATAAGGATAAGCACTGGACTTCTAACTACAAGGACAGAGGTTCAAACCCACCAGTCATTCCTTGGAAATCCTACATAGGGTCACTAGGAGTCAAAACCAACTCATGACACCTAACAACAACAACAACATAATATTTAATATGAATTTTTTGCTGTATCTGACTTATTTTTAATTGCTTTTGTCAAATAAATGAAAAGACAGGCCACAAATTGGGAGAACATTTGCAAAACATATATCTGACAAAGGTCTCATATCCAAACTATGTAAACAACTCACACAAGTCAAAAAGGAGATCACCCAGGACTCCTACCATTTCATTACAGTAACGAGAATTAAAAGTAGACATTAGTAAGTGCAGTAGAGTATGTAGGGAAACTAGAACTTCCGTATATTGATGGTGGAAATGGAAAAGGTACAACCACTTTTAAATGAAAATTAAAATTAGACATTAGTAAGTGCAGTAGAGTACGTAGGGAAACTAGAACTTCCGTATACTGATGGTGAAAATGGAAAAGGGTACAACCACTTTTAAAACTATACAAAATTAGACATAAGATTACACATACAAATATATTCATATACACAGTTTCACATAAGATTACACATATGCTTTCTATGTGTCATATGTTCCAGAAATCCTACCTGCTAGGAAATTATTCCAGAGAAGTGAAAATATATGTCTATAACAAAAATATATTTTATATAAATGCTTGTAACACCTGTATTCATAATGGTCTCAAAATTGAAAATAGCCCAACTATTCAACAGGTGAAAAAACATATTTTAGTAAAAGTCCATACAGGAGAACACTACTTAGCAATAAGAAAGGAAATAAAAACTACTGATAAAATCTACAAGAATGAATCTTTTGGAGTTTTAGATGACTCTCAAAAATAGTATGCTTAGCAAAACCCCCCCCCCAAAAAAAAACAAAAATCAGAAACAGTGTAATTCCTACTGTATGATTCCATTACATAAAACTTTAAGAAAACCTAATCTATAATGTAAAAAGTTAAGGAAATGTAAATAAAATATGGACTTTAGTTAATAATAATATATTGTTGTTGTTGTTATGTGCCATCGAGTCAGTTCCAACCCATAGCGACCCTGTGTAGGGTTTCCGAGGGTGTAAATCTTTACGGGAGTAGAAAGCCTCATCTTTCTCCCGCGGAGCAGCTGGTAGTTTCGAACCACTGACCTTAAGGTTTGCAGCCCGATTCGTAACCACTACGCTACCAGAGTATTGATTAATTGTGGCAAATGTAATATACTAATGTAAGATGCTAATGGGTAAATGAACATACAATATACACAAATTCTATGTACCATCCTTTCAATAAATCTATAAATCTAAAACTATCCTAAGAATTTTTATTTAAAAAATATTGTTCATTTTTACAACTTACTGCTTAGCTATAACCAAAGACAATTCCAACACAGTGAATACAATATCACAAAGCATACTAAAACGATTTAGAATAAAAAAATTTAAATATTGGCATAGAATATAATTGGGGAAATTATTTTTAATTTCTATCAGGAGCAAGGGAATAATATTTCCAATACACAAAGAACTCTGGGAAACCAAAGAAAAACAGAAAGAACCATAATCTGAGAGGAAAAATAAAATATATGAATAGTATGCTCCAGCCAAATAAAAAATAGGTATTCATGTATAATGAATGAAAAGTTAAACTACACTCAGATATCATTTCTACTATCATATAAACACAAATCTGAAAAGCTGATCAGCACACTCCATTGGTGAAGTTGTTGTTAAATGCTGTTGAGTTATTTGCAACCCATAGAGACTGTTCTAAGGAGCAGCTGGTGGGTTTGAACTGGCAACCCTGTGGTTAGCAGCCTAGTGCTTATCCTACAGCACCACACCAGGACTCTGTTGGTGAGGTAGGCACTCTGAAACATTTGAAAATTGGAGGGAATTTTGTCAAATATGTTAAGATTATATATACAATTGTTATTTGATCCAGAAATTCCATTTAGAAGGATTCTTTCCCAAAAATAGACACACAAAAATATTACAAGACGGATCCCCAAGAGTACTGATTGCAGCAGAATTTGTAATAGCAAAATATTAAAGATACCTCATAGGTCCAATAATAAATGAGTTGTTTTTAATATTTCACTATTACAGATTCTGCCACAAAGGATGCTGTTGATCAATAATCTAGTGAAAAGCAAAACATCGTCTATGTTACAGTTGACAATAGAAGACCTTAACTAGTCCACATAGCTAAGCATGGGGACAAACAAGTATCTTTTCATCAGTAGGGAATTAATATATATATATATATATATATATTTAAATATCTTTATTATATACCACCACCATTATCTTCTTAGGGAGTCCTGGTGTGACTCTGTAGGATAAACACTGGATTGCTAACCACAAGGTTGCTGGTTCAAACACTCCTCAGAATCCCTATTCAGAGTCTCTGTGAGTTGCATAGCAGTTCACACCTACCAGCCACTCCTTACAAACTCTACACAGGGTCACTATGGGTCAGAACCCACTCAATAGGACTTAACAACATTATTCTCTTAGTTGATGTTCAAACTTGATTTTTAAATAAATCTTACCTCTTCATAATTACTCTTAGGTAAGCATTTACGGGTGAAAAACTTCAATGTAAAGGAGAATGAATAATGGACTAGCTTCAGAAACCTGAGTTTTAGTTCAGGATCTGCCCCTTTAAACATATTGATAACTCTGGTCAAGTCATAAAGCTCCTTAGAGCTTTGCTTTACCATTTGCAAAACTGGGATACTAAAATATAAGCAAAGTCCTCTAATTTATGCACCATTCTCATTAATATGTCTAATGATATCATTTAAAACAAACAAATAAACAAAACAAAAACCAAGCTAGTCAGATACTATGTATGAGAACTTAAAAACGAATTACGAGTTGGAAGAGATAGCATCACCATTTGAGACGACAGAAAGATATCTATTGTGGACATGTAAGAAATAGCATTGAGTGCAGCTTACCCCTGGCTGTCCTCCGATGAGAAAGCTGGTTTCTTTGCTGCCCAGACTCTGTTAACAGCACCACATGGAAGATAAAATACTGTTAAAATACTGCAAATGGAAGGACGGTATCTTTAACTTCTACTAACAAAAATTCTAAAGAGAATACTAGTAAGATGTTTACTTATGCTTTATAAACTATGCAAGGCATTCTATTTTGTGGGTCATAACACATTATGGGTAATATTTGGAAGAATAGATATTCCAGAACACTTTTTCGTGCTCTTAAGGAACCTGTACATTGATCAAGAGGCAATCATTCAAACAGACCAAGGGGACACTGAATGGTTTAAAATCACAAAACATGTGAATCAGAGTTGTATCCGTTCACAATACTTATTCAATCTGTATACTGAGCAAATAATCTGAGAAGCTGGAATATATGAAGAAAAACTTGGAGGAAGACTCATTAACAACCTGCAATATGCAAATGACACAGCCTTGTTTACTGAAGGAAAGAGGAGTTGAAATACTTATTGATGAAGGTTAAAAACTAGAGTCTTCAGTATGGGTTGCACTTCAATGTAAAGAAAACAAAAATCCTCACAAGTGGATCAATAAATGACATAATAAATAGGGAAAAGACTGATGCGGTCAAAGACTTCAATTTTCTTGGATACACTATCAACACTCATGGAAGTAGCAATCAAGAAATCAGAGCACATATTGCATTAAGTAAATCTGCTGCAAAAAACAAAAAACTCTTTAAAGTGTTAAAGAGCAAAAATGGCATTTGAGAACTAAGATGTGCCTGACCCAAGCCATGGTATTTTCAATAGTCTCATACGCATGTAAAAGCTGGACAGTGAATAAGGAAGACCTTAGAAAAATTGATGCATTTGAATTACGGTGTTGGAGAAGAATATTGACAGGACCATGGATTTCTAGAAGAACAAACAAACCTGGTTGGAAGAAGCACAGCCAGAGTGTTCATTTGAGGTGAGAATGACGAGACATGTGGTCAGGAGGGATGGATCTCTCAAGAAAGGTATCATGCTTGGTAAAGTAGAGAGAGGGTCAGTGGAAAAGAGAAAGGACTCCAATGAGATGGATCGACACAGTGGCAACAACAAGGGACTCGAGCATATTGACAATTATGAAAATGGTGCAGGATCCAGCAGTGTTTCGTTCTGTTGTGCACAGCGTTCCAGTATGATCCAGAACTGACTTGGCGGTACCTAACAACAACAGCAAACATTCCAGGTTCTCTATGCAGAAATCCTAAACTTGGAACTCAGGGGAGTTGTGAAACACCTGAAAGTGTATGCAAATCTTTGTTTGAACATATGTGAAATCTGCATGCATGTTCATGAGTATGTTGTATATGGAGGTCAGGAGGGTGAGACAGAAAAATGACAACTGTAGAGGCAGATTTATGAAATTATTAAAAAAAAAAATTGTGACCCCAGTAATGGTTGAAAATGACTACATTTTAGAGAAATAACAAAGAACTCTAGTCTTTTAATGATGCTAACTCCTGAAGCAACACTAAGGGTCTAGTTAACTAATTATGTTATGCCTATCAACATCTGATTGAAAATAATAAATCCTTTGGAAGATACAGGTACATCTGTACTTATAATCAAGAAAAAAGTCATACATGCATAAAAACACACATACTACTTTATGATTAAAAGTGCTTTTTGCATCCTTCTGGTGTATGTTGTTGTTGTTAAGTTCCGTTGAGTAGTCTATGACTCATAGCTACTCTATATAGGGTTTCTGCGGCGCAGCTTGTGAACCACCAATCTTGTGGTTCAAATAGACATTGCAGTCCAGCGCATTAACCCACAGAGCCACACCAGGACTCCTTCTGGTGTATGGAGGATTTCACATCCTTGGACTATACCACAGCACATGTTCCTGAGATCACAGCTGGTCCATTCTCAGCAGTGTCTAGCGAGTGATACAGTAAAGAGCTATAGAGAGGTAGCAATCACTTACAATTCACGTCAAAGGCTGAGCATTCACTTGTCCTTGGCAAGTCACAACCAATACCGCATTATTCCCAGGTGATGCTGAGCAAAGTTTTGAAAATAGCACATGAAAAGTGCTATGGATGTATTAAAAGACTTGTTAAACATATGGCTGGTTAAATGTAAAGCTGATGGTCTTGTCTGTTAACCTTTCCGTAATTCACAGTAAAATGGGAATGAATACATGAATAGACTGTGGTTTGAACCCACCAACCACTCCTCAGGAGAAAAAAAGAAAAAGATTTGTTGTTAAGTGCCTTTTAGTTGGTTCTGACTCATAGTGACCCTGGATAGAGTTTCTGAGGAGCCACTGGTGGGTTTGAACTGCTGACCTTGCATTTAGCAGTCCAGAGTTTATTCTACAGTTCCTCATCAAGAGTCCATTTAAAGACCAATTGAAAGGTTTTTATGGTGTTAAGCACTCTAGGAAGAATAGAAGCCTCCATGAGTTAATATATGCTCAGTGTCCTATTTCACTTACATGTAAATGTGTTTACTTGTGGGTATTGAATGGATTCCATTAACATTTTCAAGTACAGCAGATACCAAACAAAACTTAATCACTTAATTCTGAATCAGCAGTTAGGTGTTGGTCACCAGTTCAAAGCCACCAACTGCTACACCAAAGAAAGATGAGTCTGTATGCTCCTGTAAAATACTACGTGAGTCCCTCAAGGTTGCCAAAACTGCTATTTTGATGTGGTATAAATGTAAGAGAGGAGAATTCCTCTGAGAAGGGTTGTTGATGTTAGATGCTGTCGAGTTGGTTCCGACTCATAGTGACTTTATGCACAACAGAACAAAACACTGCCTGATCCTGCACCAACCACACAATCCTTAAGCTTGAGTCCCTTGCTGCTCACTGGGGCTCTTTCTCTTTTTTGCTGACCTATCACCTTCAGAAGTGTGTAAACCTAGTTGGAGAATTTGTTTAGAAACAATTGCTTCAGGTTCAGATGTTTTCATTTAATAAAGGGTGCTACTATTTTTTTTTTTTCCTTTCTCCCATCTTCCTTTCCCTTCTCAACTTTGTCCTTATGCAAATGTTACCCTTTAGATTTTGAATGATTGACCATTCCATGGTAAGCACAGCTTTCTAGTGTTGTTATTAGTTTGTAGCAGTGTTTTTTGACTAATCCACATGCATTCCATGGGCACATAACATATATGCAGCATACACGTTTAGGACGGTTATGCCTTCTTGTTGCACTGATCTTTTTTTTTTTTTTTTTTTAAATGTTTGCTGTCAATCAATATGGCAACTCCTATTTTCTTTTGACTAATGTTTTCATGAAATATCTTTGTAATCCTCTTACATTAATGAATTTTCTAAAAATGTGGAGCATTTGATATAATTATTGATGTATTAGGAATTCAGTCTGTCTGTTTTTTGTGTTTTCCCTCTGTGTTCTGTTACTCTGAATTGTCCTTCCTTCCTGTGAATTGCTTGAACATTATTTTATGATTGTATTTTGGTTTTTCTATACCATTTTTAGTACATACATCTATTTTTATAGTTTTTTTTTTTTTTTAATGGTAGATCTTGGTAGTATATCAGATATATCCATAACAAGTCCATTGTTGTTATTGTAACTATTAGTGATCCTATGCACACCAGAACAGAACCCCGCCTGGTTTTACACCATCCATACCTTTGTTATGTTTGAGCCCCTTGTTGCTGCCACTCTCAGTCAATCTCGTTGGGGGTCTCTCTGTCACTGATCCTCTAATTTTCCAAGCATTATGTCTGTTTCTAGAGTTTGTTGTTGTTAAGTGCCATCGAGTTGGTTCCAAAGAGCGGCTGGTGACTTGAACCACCGACCTTGAGATTCAAACTGACTTTGCAGTCCAGCGTTACACCAGAACTCCTTTCTAGAGATGTTGTTGTTGTTGTTAAGTGCCGTTGAGTCATTTCTGACCCATAGCGATCCTGTATGAACACTGCAGTTCAAACGACTTTGCAATCTGGCGCATTAACCCACAGCACCATACCAGGACTCCTTTCTAGGGATGTTGTTGTTAAATGCCGTCGAGTCGGTTCTGACCCATAGCAATCCTGTGTAGGGTTTCCGAAGAGCAGCTGGTGAGCTTGAACCACCAACCTTGCAATTCAAACGGCTTTGTAGTCTGGCGCATTAACCCACAGCACCACTCCAGGACTAGTTTCTAGGGATAGGGCCCTCTTAATACATATGAAACGAAGTATCACCAACCTTAATTCTAAAGAGTATTCTGGCTGCACTTGTTCCAAGAAGTTTTGTTTGATCTTTCGCAGTGAATGTACTTTCTTTGCCAACATCAAAATTCAAATACATACATTCTTCTATAGTTTCCCTTATTCATTATCCAACTTTTATGTGCATATGAAGTAATTTAAAATACCACGGCTTGGGGTAGATGCACCTTAGTCCTCAAACTGATATCTTTGCTCTTGAATGCTTTAGAAAAGGTTTTGAAGCAGATTTGCTTCAAATCAAAGCAATATGTACTTTGATTTCTTGATTGCTGCTTGCATGGGAGTTGATTGTAGACTCAAGCAAAATGAAGTCTGACACCTTCAATCTTTTCTCCATTTATCAACATGTTATTTATTGGTACAATTGTGAGGATTTTTGTTTTCTTATATCGAGGTACAAATCCACACTAAAAGCTGTAGTCTTTGATCTTCATCAATAAGTACTTCAAATCCTATTTACTTCCAGAAAGCAAGGTTGTGTCATTTACATATAGCAGGTCATTGTTGAGTCTTCCCCCAATCCTGATGCAACATTCATCTTCCTATAACCGAACTTCTCATATTATTTATCATACAATTAAATATTTCTCTAAGTCCAGTGAGAACTGCATCCGACAGTGCTAAACTTATTGCTTCACCATCAATATCATTTAAAAAACTCAAGAAGAGAAGCAAAATCTACTGCATTGATTCAGTGTTTTACTATTTCTGTTGTTCCTTCTTTGTGATATCATAATATTCTGTTTTTCACAATTTTATTTCTGTTAAAAAACATCCTTCCGGTAAGGGGAAGTGAG